GCTATGGCAACCACTGTTTGTGAACTAAAATGGCTGAAATCCCTGCTTTTCTCCCTTGGTGTGCGTCACAAACAACCCATGCGGTTGTTTTGTGATAATCAGGCAGCCCTCCATATTGCAGCTAATCCTGTCTTCCATGAGCGTACGAAACACATTGAAATTGATTGCCACTTTGTGCGTGACGAAATCCAACGAGGTGTTTTGTGTACTCGCCACATCTCCACCAATGAACAACCGGCAGATCTCTTTACAAAGGCTTTGGCTTCCGCTCCATTTTCCCATTTGCTGTCCAAACTGGGCATCCAGAATCCGCATGCTCCAGCTTGAGGGGGGGTGTTGGGCGGTGCTCCTTGGACCACACGGCAAGAAGGAGAGCAAATCCCATTCTAAGTGGGATTGCTCTTGATTTGTTTCCTTGTTCATATTTAGTGATTTGTTTCCTTGTAGGAATAGAATTCCTTTTGTGTTTTGGTCTTTATCCTCTCCTATAAATAAAGGAGAAACTCCTTGTACTTAGCAGAACAATTCAATATACAGAATATTTTCCCTCTTATTATTTTCTTCATACAATATCTCCCAACTTTTAGTTTAACTCTTACAACGATTTTTCTGTCTCTTCTATAGTTATATTCTTGAATCATAGTACAATGTCTTATGTGAGCTCATCATCATTATTTTTCAAGTAGCTTTATTCTAAGGTAATACCATGAAGACGAGGGTAATGTTATGAGATAAACTTCTTTTTTAGTTACATGCTTCACATTGTTATACAGTACAACTATGTTCAGTGTGCTTTACGTTTTACTTAAAAAAAGACTAATTATGCATCAATTCTTTGACCACATGAACTATTGTGCAACTTTTAAAAGTATAGGGACTATTTGCCTATTTATGAAAGACCACATGAACTATTTGTGTATATAACTATATATAATAAATTCAAAACTATCATCGGAATTGGTCCCTACTATAAATTACGTTGGTTGGTGGAAAAAATTCCAAAGAATTATAGATTTCTCTTTTTTTGGTTGGATAAATATTTTTCGTTGGAGCGTAACATAGGAATTTGATTTTGGGATTTGTGATCACAAAATCCTCACCGGTTGCTCCTCTTAGAGAGCATGTATATGGTACAACCGGTTGTACCTAGAGATAGGTACAACCGTGTAGTACTCATTCTGAATAAAAATAGTACTCATTCTCATATAAGCATCAACGTTAATTTTGAAATATGTAGTACTCATTCTGAAATAATGTAGTACTCATTTTGGAATAACGTAATACTCATTTTCACATATTTGTTTTATATAATTATAATATTAGTTTACTAATAATATAATATTCATTCTAAACTAGAGTAATGTTCATAGAAATACGGTTGCTAGTCTCCCCTTTGTTCCTTAGACCGATTGCTAGTCTCCCCTCTGTTCCTTCCTTCGATCTAATTACCGGTTGTACCAGAAATACGGTACAATCGGTTGTACGATATAATTTCCGGTTGCCAATTGCGCTTATAGTTAGTGTGAACTTATCTAAATTAAAACATAATTTTTCATTTCATTTTCAAAGCATTAGGTGAATTTATCTTTTGGGTATTTGTTTAGTGAAAACTAATATGTCGAGAAATTAGACTATCAATCGCACTATGCTCTTAATAGAGTTTTTATTTGTTTTACCCATAGTTTTTTAGAACCGAACCGGTGATCGAACCAGTCAAGACATTGGTTTACTGGTCGAACTAGTGGTTCGAGTGGTTGAACCATTGTTTCAAACATTTCTAATAAATAGATATATATATATATATATATATATATATATATACATACATACATACATACACACATACATACATACATACATACATACATACATTTATTAAATAAAGTAAGATTTCCTTTATTTATAATTAAAGAATTGATGTTTGACTAAATTTATAATTTAACTTAATTTATTTGAGTTGTGTCATTAAATAAAAAATAAAATTTACTTATTTAAAAAAGCTTATAAATAAAAGTTATTTGAATTTTTTAAAACATTTTACCTAGTATTTAATAATATATATAAAATATTTGTGTGATATGCACTCCATATCAATTACATCAATGGGGTTTGAATTTTAGTTAAAAAAAACTATATATATTTTTAAAGTATTTGATATAAAAATTTTTATTTAAAGAATACTTAAAACGAATAGTAGATAGTTCCACTGAGCATTGTAGCAGAGATGGATTTTTGCTGATAAGTAAATTTTAACTTATAAGCTGCATATAAGTCAGATATTTATTAATGAAAATAAAATAACTTAAACGATAGATAACTCATTCGGAAATATCCATTAATGGTGATTGATAGTTTCGTAAATAATTTGGTCAAAACAGAAAAATGAAAAAAATGACTTAAAAATAAATAAGACTTATTTATTTTTTCTACCTTATAAATAGCTTATGAGCAAACTTAAGGCATCAGAAATACCTTTAATGCCTCGGGCGTTTTTGCATCTTTAATGCCATATGGGGGCGTTAAACACAACACCGCCCCCATGGCCGTTACAAGGGCTTTATCACTTGCGCATTAAACTTTTAACCAAGAAGGAATTATGAATCACTTCTGGTGGAGCAACAAAGGCTCAGGCCCATCTGGAATTCACTGGCTTTCATGGCAGCGTATGTCAACGCCAAAAAATTTGGTGGCCTAGGCTTCAGGAGGATTCAGGACTTCAATGTCGCTATGATTGGAAAACAAGGTTGGAGACTGATTATCAACCCGGATTCCTTGGTGGCGAGAGTCTTTAAGGCGAGGTACTACTCAAAAGGGGACTTCCTAAACGCGGGGCTTGGCTCATCACCGAGTTTTGTGTGGCGGAGCATTTTAGAAGGCCGAAATCTTATCATTAATGGCATAGGTCGATGGATTGGGGACGGACGAGATACTCTAATTTGGGATACTCCTTGGATTTGGGACAAGGACAACCCGTTTATTACGTCTTCAAAACTCCCTTTTTGTCCAAACTTTAGAGTTTCCTATCTAATTGATCCGGAAACTAATGCATGGAAAATGGATGTGGTGCGAGAATGGTTCTCAACCGAAGATGCAATCCGAATTCAACGTACTCCGGTGTCTCTCTCTCGCAAGGACTGTTGGTATTGGAGGGTGGAAGCACATGGAAATTACAGAGTGAAGAGTGCTTATAGGAGGCTATGCGGGGAAGCATCGCAGTTAGAGAGTTTCGGCCAGTGGAATCGACTTTGGGGACTGCCCATCATACCAAAGGTAAAAAATTGTGTGTGGAGGTGCTTAAGGGGTGTCTTACCTACGGCTATAGCTCTTAGAGACAAGGAGGTTGATATTGAGCCTAACTACCGCATCTGTGGGGCACCGGAAGAATCAGTGGAGCATGTTTTCCTTTCCTGTCCTTTTGCTCAGGCTACTTGGAGACTCCTACACAGAGAGATCGCCACATGTAAGGACGAGAACTTTAATAATTGCTTGGCGACTGTTTTTGGATCGGCGTCGGTTGTCGATGGAGCAGTGATGGTTGCGGGTATTTGGGCTATCTGGAAAGCCCAAAATCAGGCCTGCTGGGAACTCAAGGTGGTCAGACCGGAGGTTGCTGCTGATTGGGCACGAGAAGTATGCGTGGCTAGGACAAGCCGTGACTTACAGGGTGGCACGATGGCAACGTCGGAAGGGCCGGGGCTTCAGCAGTTGAACCGGCCGGATCTCCTGCGATGCTTTGTTGATGCGGCCATGTTTGAATAGGATGGTTTTACATCAGTGGCGGCAGTCCTTCTTGATGGGGCAGGCACGTTCATCGGTGGCTTCAACAAGCTTGTCACCTGTCCCTTAGTGCCGAGGTATGTAGAAACTTTAGCTATTAAGGAAGCTCTATCTTGGCTCAAGGAGAAGAATGTCCATGATGTCGCTGTTTTCTCTGACTGTGTTCAAGCGGCCCATGCTCTAAAGAATGACGTGATAGAAGCTCGGTCATATCTGAACGCGGTGGAGGATGATTGCAAAAAACTCGCTTATTTCTTTAACTATGTTAATTTTTTTCACATTCCTAGACAGTCGAATTTGATTGCACACACCCTTGCTAGATTGGCTGTTAATGGGTGCTATGAATGGCATTCTATTCTCCCAAATGATGTATTGCATTTACTTTGATGAATGAAAGTGTTTGAGTTTCAAAAAAAAAAAGAAAGATGAGAGACAAGCGGGGGGGTCCCTCCATTGAAAACAACAAAAATACTGCATTAATGCCGTTGGCTAAGAAAAGAATTTTTTTTACTCTATATATTCACTCTCTTTTTTTAAAAATAAAACACACAAACACCAAAAAATTTGTTTACTCTCTATGTTCACTAAAGCTAAATATAATATGCTTTAGTGTTTTTTTTTTGTAAATGTAATTTTTTGTTTTTTTTAAATTTAAGAATAAATTCCCAAAATGATCCTTTGTAATAAGATGTTTTCCCAATTCAGTCCTCAATAAGTTTTAATTATCTACATGGTCCTCTATAATTGAGATTTATTTCTAAGATAGTCCTTCATAAATAATGTAACTCAAATGATGATTAATTGGGAGATATTTTAGTATTTTGATTATCCAAATTCAAAGTATATTCTCGAAATAGTTATTTCTGCACAACTAAATGTAAAATTGAAAAAATACATTGACTATAAATAATTCATGAATTATTTAAAACTTACATAAAAAATATTTTAAATTTCATATCAAATACACATCTTTAATTAAAAAAACCATTTTAGGAAAGCACTTCTTCATAAATGATCATTTTAGGAATTAATTCTAAATTTAGCGGATAAAAAATACCAAAATACCCTCAATTAATCCTCATTTGAATAACATTATTTACAAAGAACCATCATGTGAATAAATTTCAATTATAGAGGATGACGTAGGTAATTAAAACTTATTGAAGACTGATTTGGAAAACTCTTTATTACAAATGACTATTTTAGGAATTTACTCTAAATTTAATGTACTTTTTTATGAAATGTATTTTTTATTTAGTGAATTATTTCGGTTTAAATTTAATTAATTAATGAAATCTTATTCATTTACTTTAATAAAATGTATATTAAAAAATAAAAAAATAAAAATTTGAAGCCTAGATTTGAAGACAAATATTTTCAATAAAACGGCGATGTAAGTTAAAAAGGGTTAAATTTCTTTTAGTGTAGTATAATGATAATAATCTAGTCTAATTAATCTATTACTTACTTTAGTCTCAAAGTCTTTGCCACATTTGGTAAACTCAAATAAAATATTAAATTCTTTAGATTCATTTTATTTTAATATTGATATAAAAATAAAAAAATAAATTTAGTAAAAACTACCTCGGCTCTGCACCCGATCAGGCTTTCACCGTTTCACGCTTTCGTCCTTCATTTAGTCAGACGACCAGTGGCAGCGAGCACCGAACATCCATCCATCCCCTCTTCGTTCCAATTTTCTTGTGGAGTTTCAGGTTTGTATCTGACTATCTTCGATCCATTAACTCGTTGCATATTTAAATAGAGAAGTTATTGAATTACTGAATGATGTGAATTCGGTTGTTATGTTGTTCGTTGAAGCTTGAATTTACACATTGTGTTTCTAACTTGCCACTTGTGTGATTTCGAAGAAGCTGTGTTGAGCTTTGATTAATTAATTTCTTAATTAATGTGTTTGATTTCTTGTTCAGCTTTAGAGCTGGGAGCATATGTAAGTTTTTCTGTTAATTCGAGTTAATGATTTTTGTTATCTACTAATTTTTTTGAGCTGCTACTTATGGATTTCTAATTTGTTTTTTGAGCTGTTTGTTTAATTTGAGTTAAGCATAGATAAATTTTGTGTTTCTTAATTTTTTGTTTAATTTGAGTTAAAGATTTTGTTTTCATTATCTCATTTCAATTATTTTTAGTGATTGAATGGTGCTTTGTTGATTGTTTGGAAAATTAGTTTGCACTCAATTAACTCAAAATGTATTCAAAGTTTAAATTGTTGTGGTCAAGGACCTTTTTTTCCATCTCATCCCGGGTCCCTGAATCCTCAAGACCGGCCCCAACGTAATAGATTGTATTGATGTATCTAAAATTGCAGAATGGAAGGGCTTCTTGTGGAAAAGCATATAAAGTACATCTTATCAGCTAAAGAGGTAGGAGTTATTTCTACAGTCCTAAATATGCACGTGATGCATGTAGGGTGTTTAAAGTTAGCATACATAGATTGAAAAGTATAATGTGTAAGGATTAAGTAACTTTAGTTATAATTAATTATCACTCATCTAGGAGAACTGGAGGAGGAGTGAGACTCCTTCCTCCCATTGTTGCAGCATACAGTTAGGAAACTAGAAGAAAATGGAAGAAGACAGAATGAGAGAAGAAAAAGGAGAGTAAAAAACATGGATATGCTGTCATAAGTCATTGGATAGTGCAAAGTAGGATGCCACCGACTTCCTTTGATAAAATCTAAGAGATTTTAATGACTTAGTTAGTTACATAGTATAAGTAATTAAAATTATAAATAATATTTTCAAAAAAATTATAAATAATATAATCAACTATCACTCCTCTTCTTGAAGAGTTGGGGAGGGGGGTGTGGGTCTCCCTCCCATTGTTGCGGCGTACGGTGACATATGTGAATGAAAGAAGAGAAGGAGAAAAAAGAGATGAAAAGGGGAAGAACGGAGAGGCAGAGAAAAGAAATAAGAAAAAGTGATATGCCACCATATCTCATTTCCTGGTGCAATGTAGGAAGCCTTCAGCCTCCTTTTCTAAAATGTTATTAAGGTAGATTATCCGGCGATTTTGTTTTTCAGTACGACAAAAAGATGATTTTAACTGTTGCAATTTGTTTTGTTGTTAACTTTGAGAATGGCATCACTTTTTCGTACTGAGGACTAGCATCTTCTATCTGAAATAACAAAAAATGTATGGGATTATGGGAATGCAAAGTGGGTCTTTTGTGAGCTTGTTTGTCTTACCTTCAGAGTAAAGATGAATTTGAGTCTGTGGTGATGGAGCATCTTAGGTTAAATGGAGCATACTGGGGTTTGACGACTCTTGATATCCTTGGGAAGATTAATGCAGTGGATCAAGTCGAAGTCATTCCCTGGGTTTTGCAGTGTCAACATGAATCCGGTTTGTGCTCTAATTGCTCTTGTATTCAGTTATACTCTATAATCTCTAAAATGAAAATCTTGTTCTGTTTCTATAGTTAGATAGTTCTCCATCTTCGTAAACAATCTTGAAAGACACCACTCTGCTAAAATTATGATTAGGCTGCCTAAAAGTCACCAGTTCACCCTTTCTAGGCTCCACTATCTGTAGTTTTTATAGTTGATGCCTTAAGCCTTGGGGGTTTTCATTACATCGGACCTAATGAAGGGTTGTCTTACTTATGTCTTTATATAAAGTACTCCCTCCGTCTCAAAAAAAAAGGTTCCACAACGTAACTACCACAATTATTAAGAAATGTAAAAATGTATTGTTGAGAGTGATGTCGAGGAGAGAGAAGTATTATGAGCCACATGCTTTTTCTATTAGAGGAGAGTGGAACCTTATTTTGGAACAGATGGAAACGGAAATGTGGAACATTTTTTTCTTTGAAAGGAAAGTGCAACCTAATTTTGGAACAGACGAAAAGGGATGCAATGAAGGGATATAGGCACTACTATGGGGCTATCAACTTCTCCATTGCCCAACATCTAGCTGTATTGTTCTTGAATTTGCAGTTGAACTTATACGATGAGTGTTTGTGTTTTGCAGGTGGATTTAGCGGTAACATTGGACATGATCCACATATCTTGTATACACTTAGTGCCATCCAAGTCTTAGCATTATTTGATAAACTTGACGTCCTTGACATTGACAAGGTCTCCAACTGTATCCTTCAACAATGACACACATTCTTCTTGTTATCCACAGACCACAGGGATGTTTATGCAAATTTTACAGTATACTTCTAGTGCAATCTTTTCTATTTAATGATCTAACACTACAAGATAAATAAAGAAAATTGGGCGTCATCACTCAACAAAAGTCAGCTACATAAATCATAAACTGATATGATAAGAATTGTACTCGTAAATTTTAGGGTGGTTGAACTTGACTACACTGGCAGATATTGCAGGCCTGCAAAATGAAGATGGGTCATTTTCTGGTGACATGTGGGGTGAAGTTGATACAAGGTAATAATCTCTACTTTGGGACTTCTTCAGAGTGATTATTCCTGCATCTTAGTTTCCTTGCTCACTTGTGCACAAAACTAGTTTTACATGTTATTGTATTACCATTAAGTGAATAGAATAATCAGTAAAGTTCTTCCTTTAGGTTCTCTTACGTAGCAATAAGTTCTCTTGCTCTATTGCGAAAGTTGGATAACATCGATGTGGAAAAAGCTGTACAGTACATTTTAAGTTGCAAGAATGTGGATGGTGGATTTGGTTGCACGCCTGGGGCAGAATCTCATGCTGGGCAGAGTATGTTACATAGTGCCCCCCATCCTACAATTATCTTCTGTACTTTCTTATTTGGGGTGTCTCAAGATTTTCTTCCACTTGCTTTTTAAGGAAAAGATTGTGTGATCCATGTTTATTTTTCTTTCCTCTACACAAATCACGGCACACATGTTCTACTTTATTAAAAATGCATCCAATTTCATGTATGAAGACAGTTATGGAACAGAGGGAGTATTATTTTGTTAGTTACATACAAATTATTCATCATGTTCATAACTTGGTATAGAGAGATGTGCATTGGCCCATTTTCCAGTGTGGTCAAGGAAATGCTCATGTTAATTTAAATTCTTTAGTCTGATCTGATGTGTAGAATATGGTAAAATTATACTATTGCAGTAATTGCACTAAAGTCATTATAATGTTAAGATATACAGAATGGGCTAAGGCCATGTTCTTTTTTAATTGTTTTATATTGTTCATTTTTTCCTGGTGGAGTCTAGAGGCTGGAGACCCCTCCTGAGTCCAGAGTTTGGAGTCCGATAACTACAACTTGTAACAACAACAACCTAGTAGAATCCCACTAGAGTAGGGTCTGGGGAGGGTGTGAGTATGCAGGACCTTGCCCTTACTCGAGAGTAGGGAGGCTGTTTCCAAGAGACCCCCGCTTAAGTAGCACAAAAGACACATAAGAGCAGAGAAAACACAGAGCATACAAAGCACACAACAAGTGCAGAGACCAACACCTAGCCCAAAGCGCCTACCCAACTACCCTAATCCTAGTATCCTATCAATTCAAACGCTCTTATCTAAGGCCATTTAAGCAGTAAGGGCAAGAAGTCCTAAATTCTGTCTAATCACCTCCTCCCAATTCTTCTTAGGTCTACCCCTACTCCTACCCTCCAACGCAAGCCCCTTGCATCTCTGCACCGGGGCATCAGTACACTGCCGACTCACACATGTCAAAACCACCTTAGCTTAACTGCAACTTTTAACTGGAACTTATATTAAATATACTATAGAGGTAAAGAAAGTTTAACTTGGAACTTGGAGCAGGGATATCTGTAATAAAAAGTTGAAAAGAACATGGCCTAAGCCCACTACTGTTTGGGTTCGATAACATTATACATCATACTATTCAACAGGAAGATAGTTATGTCACACAGAGCAGTAAAAGTAGACAATTAAACTGTGCATTCACTATTTGTGATAGTAATGACCTACTGAGAGTGATGAGTTGTACTCTTTTTTAAAAGAGGGTATCTTTATCTTCATATGTTATACAAGATCACATAAAGGATCCTTTCAAATGGGCTTACTCCTATTTGTCTTTCACGTTGTCATGTTTTACTCCCTCCGCCCCAAATAAGCACTTTCTTTCACTATGTGACCATCATTATTTCACTTTCTTTCAAATCAATTATAACCATACATTTCACTTTTCAACACTTAAACTCTTAGCTCGGTCAAAGTGTATTTTCAATTTTGGAAGGAGGGATTATAATTTAAGCATAGTATCAACTGAACTGTTTGTGATGTCTTTTACCTCGTAGTGTACTGGGAATAGTGATAATGTTTTTTACTATTCCAGTTTTCTGCTGTGTGGGAGCACTTGCAATAACAGGCTCTTTGCATCAGGTTGACAAAGACCTCCTTGGCTGGTGGTTATGTGAAAGACAAGTTAAATGTGGGGGTCTAAATGGGCGCCCCGAGAAGCTTCCTGATGTGAGTTAATTACGCCGTAGTATTATATTTCTGGATAAAGTAAAAAAGGTCTTCGATTGGTGTTAAATGTGTAATTCATCTTTCCTTTTACTGTTTAACTATAGGTCTGCTATTCTTGGTGGGTTCTTTCAAGCTTGATTATGATAGACCGTGTTCACTGGATTGATAAGGAGAAGCTTGTACAATTTATCTTGGACTGTCAGGTTAGTTCTCAATCTGAAGGAGTTGGGGTGTTTAGTTCTTCTCTCAAGTGATAGATTATTACTTCTTTTGAGCAACATCAGAGGAGGTTTTTGACTTGTTGGAGTGAATAACGGGGGATGTAATTTAAATTCAATGGCAAAAAATTAAAGGTTTTCAAATTCCATTGTTTGCTTGGAAAGGAATAACATTGATGGAAACTCAACCAAACATGCTATCATGTTTAGTCATATGGTATATAATTAGTTGTTTTCATGGATTGTGCAGGATAGAGAAAATGGTGGGATTTCGGACAGGCCAGATGATGCAGTTGATGTCTTCCATACATATTTTGGAGTTGCTGGTAACGCTTCACAAATCCTACTATCACTTTAAAATAATAGAATGTGTGGCACACTCTAATTAGATCACTCAATCCCCCTTCTGATGGGTTGAAGTGAATTAATTTGGTAATAAGAAATGGTTATGTTATTCTTTCAAAAAAAAAAAAAACTACTTGTCATATGAAAACACTTATAAGTGTAGTATACAGCTTCCTAGTTGAAATAGACCCGTGTAGTAACCCAAACCTATTTCATTACATTGCAATTTGTCATCCTTGCAGGGCTCTCTCTTTTGGAATACCCAGGACTAAAAGCGATAGATCCTGCTTATGCCTTACCCGTCGATGTTGTGAACCGAATCATCTTTGGCAAGTAATCGGCTGGTTTTAAACGTGCTTCCAGTCCCATCCATTTTCACCAAATTTTTAAAATATATAAAGTTTTAGTACAGCAAGGTCGATGATATTATTCTCTTAAGGGATTCGCTATCTATCATGATTTTAGCATTTTATAAATTAGTTTGCACAGGCTGTGTCCCAAGAGAGTTCTACTACTCCGTAATTGATACACCTCTTGTTTTTTCGAATCCTTATGCAAATCATGCGGTTTACATCACCAACTCTTAAGTACCACATGTAATTACATTTAGCATCTCCGGTACATATCATTTTTGAATCATTTTAGATAGTTAAATGTAATATCAAAGCCAACTATTATTAATACAAATAATGTCACAATAGATTTACTGCTCAAACGAAATGCATTTACTGCTCAAACGAAATGCATGTAACATAATCCAGGACAATGTGAAGAGAAATTCAAAAGTCTCATCACAACACCAAGAGAGCTGCCAAAAAAACAAACTCTAAAAAAATCACACTCGACGACATTACACTCTTGTTGTCACATAAAAAGTAATCATAAGTTCCATCCATGTTTAATTTCCAAACATAATGGCCTATTTACCTATGTGGCAAATTTTTTCCCAGTAATTTCTAATGTCCGAAGTAAGCAATTTATCCACTGTCATTTACACCATCAAGTACTCAATTTATCCAGGGTTCATCTTGCATAACGTTTCACAAACACACAGAATCGTTGCTCGTTGTCTATAAATAAAACCTATAATTCAAACACACAATGGCCCCTTGCAAGCCTGCGATCTAGACATTAAATGTTTTAGGGACATTATGTCAACAAGTTTATTACTAAGAACCTAACAAATGAACCTCACAAATCTAACTCCTCAAGAATATGTGAATTACATCTGTCAAGTTCTTTTATAATGCAATGATTCCACATCTTCCTCAATGTTGAATTAATGTACGATGTTATCTTTCAATGTCTTCATTCAAACAAGAACAATAACAAATTACTTGACTTGGCTTTAGACCTTATAACATATATCAGGGCATTAAATTATGATGTCCCACAGCATTCTAAACCCTAAATTCCTTTCAAACCTTTTCAATTTTCTGTCTATTTACATAACAAATTTTAGTTTGTGATTTTTTAATATAACAAATCCGGTCCATAATAGGGTAAACCCGGACCGGACCGGAAAATTCAGGTCCGGACCGGTAACCAACAGGTCCGATCTTCGGTCTTAAGAAATGCTTGATTCCGGTTCCGGTCCTAACCGGTTCTGGTCCGGTCCGATCCGGTTCTGGACCGGTGCACCCCCCTAGTAATAGATGCCTTCAAAAGTCATGGCTAGTTCTAGAAACCAGTGCATGTAACAACATCCTAGTACCGGTTCTACATTGGGAAACTCATATTGTTTTGGTGCTCCCTACGTCCACAAACAAATTTCCCGTTCACTATTCACATGGTTAAACTTTATTCACTTTGTTGGCCTATTTTCGTCACTTTAGTTTTGTAGATCTTTTGATATAGTTTTTTAATATGTAATTTTTATTTTTAAATTTTACACCAATTTTCATATAAAATGATTTGAAAATAACTTTAGTCAAACATCGTAACGCGCAACAGGAAGTTTATTTTTGGACGAAGGGAGTATTATTTAGGGATTTTTATCCTTGTTTGTCCAGTACTTCAATGAGAAAAGTGTAACGCGCAACAGAAAGTTTATTTGTGGACGGAGGGAGTATTATTTAGGGATTTTTATCCTTGTTTGTCCAGTACTTCAATGAGAAAAGTGCATCGTTTAGCCCCAAATTCTTCAGAAATTACGCGATTTAACCGTGAACATTAAAAAGTGCACCAAATACCCTTGAATTCTTCAAAAAGTGTACGCTTTACCCTGAATATAAAAAAGTGCACCAAATACCCTTGAACTATTCGAAAATTGCAGAATTTACCCCTGAACATTTAAATAAAGACGATAATTTTAGGGAAGAGTACTTTTGAGAATTCACAAGGGCCAGATTAATCATACTCGCAATTTCCATGCGTTCGAGCAACGCACTCCCTATCTAGCATTTTAGGACCAACAGTGCAAGGTTTTAAATTGTTCAGGGGTATTTAGTGCATTTTTTAATATTCAGAGGTAAATCGTGTAATTTTTGAAGAATTCGAGGGTAAAAAGTGCACTATTTAATGTTCGGGGGTAACTCCATCAATTTGGCTTAAAAATCAAAGTTCAAACCCACCAACCTACAATCCCTGCCATTTAGGCAACGTTCCATTCAACTTATTTTTTCTGATTATTACTTATTCTTATTATAATTAGATCAGACCAGATCATATCAGAAACAGCTTTAATTATAACTGCAATTCAATCAGATCAGGCCAAATCAGAGAAGATCAAATTAGGCAAACGAAACACAGCCTTAGTAATAGAATGTCTTCAAAAGTCATGGCTAGTAACAACACCTAGTAGTGTCGGTTCTACATTGGGAAACTCTTAGATAAGGTTCTTTATTAGTTATTACCCCAGATAGTTTCCACATTTTAGGCTATATCATTATTTGGCATTCAATTCTTTCATATTTATGTGCAATTTCCAATTGTGGAGTTTTGGGTTTCAATAAATGATTCTATTAGGCTGATCTGAAGATCATGTTTCTGTGTTCATCAGTTATATATTATTGTGTTTTTTCAAATTCATGAGTATGAGTGATATGATGTTTGCAAAGGCTAATCTGAAAAGGAGAAACGAGAAGATTGAATTCGGAGGGAAGGAGTATAAAATGTAGTTTTTAATGTAGTTTGTTTATTGTTTCCGCATTATTCAAAACACCCACTATAAGAACTAATATTTTCAACATGTAATGTGCCAATTTGGTAATAATGGCTCCTGTGAGAATGGGAGAACTCTCTTCATCATAGTAATAAAACTATGAAAACGCCAAAATAAGAGTTCTAAATATATTAAATTGCGATTTTGACTCCTTTAGAACAATTCTGAATGAGGCATTATAACTCAGCTCAATGAAATAGATTTATTTTGAAAACCACATATATTCATAAACTTAAAACGCTGGTGCATATGGACACTTTTCAAGATTCACTTAATTACTTTCATCAACAAAAACATGAATATGCCCAATGTTTTTTCAGGGATATATATGCAGGAACAAAGTCTTTTTCCAAATCTGATGATCCCTTGTCCGGCACAAGAACTTGTGTCTTTCCAGTAGCGATTCTCCTTGCGGCAACATTCTCAGAAAACACGTTTGTTGAAGTTTGAACATAAACATCTGCCACTGAGGATATATAGACATCCGTAATCCCCCTAAGTTCAGGATGTTTGGGATCCAAGAAGTTTGGTTTGTCATTTGCAGGGATGATCATGTCCTGTTCACAGAAGAAAAAGAAATAAAAGTTTAACAAAGGTTCGTATATGACGAAAACAAGTAATCCGCAATGAGCAGGTACCTTTGAGGCACTTAATTAGTTTTGTTGTTGTTCAGTATATGTACTCATAACGAATCAATAAATAAAGAACCATAACAAGCACGCGGCTTTGGAATTCTTAGAAAAAATTCAAAAATATATACGGAGTACATACCTTAGTATAGGTGTTGGGAAAGGCTTCTCTCAAAGGTTCTGCACTAGAATGCCACCCATTTAGTGTCAAGTAAATGGTTGTTTCTTTTGCAAAACCAACCTTCTGTAAAAACAAAGCTATATGTTTGGCATCATCAATGCAGTTTCTTGCTTCTGTCGTTGCATTGTCGTCGTGACATTTACTACTACCTTGGTGTAGCAGAGTTTCGGTCCTATAATCGACTGCAATAAAACGCCCACGTGAATGAGAGCTAAGGCTTCTTAGAGTTAGGACCATGGAGTCTATAGATTCTTGGAGTTCTGGCCTCAACTTGAGGGTGTCAAACATAGCCAAACATGCATATGGGTTCGGTTTGCTTTTATGCTCCGGCGAAGGAAAGTAAGTGGCAAGCCTTAGATTTGCTCTTGTGAATATTGGCTCGATTCGCGAGTTGATGAATTCTTTGGAAACCATGTTAGGAACCCTCACTGTGGTAACCTTTTTACTATTAGATACGTCTACATCTTGTGGATCCATAGCTAGGGACACTTTCCCATCCAGGCTTTCAACCAACTTCTTCACATCATAAATGTCACCAAACTTCCTGAAAAATATACTTACAAGAAATATATCAAGACTCCATTCATAATTTGAAATTACTTAGCTAGTATCAAAGTTTTGAAAGAGAGTACAAGAAAACTCCTCTTCGCTACAAAACATTCTCATGTTTTTGTTCTGTTTTTTTGTATACCATGACAATTATACATCTAACATATACAAAATCATCACTCTTTAGCACTATGTTTGGTTTAAGGAATTTGAGATAGAAAGTAAAAGAAAATGAGAAGGAAAATACTTTTCTTGTTTGGTTATAGAGGAAGAGAAAAGAAAGTGGAAGGAAAAGAAAATAAAAAAGCAAAATGTACTTAAAGAAAAGAAAGTGGAAGGAAAAACTAATTCCCTTCCTTTTTGGTGAGGAAAATGAGAGAAAATCATTTTTTCCTTTCAAATTTCTTGAACCAAACATAGTGTAGAGGACCTAAGTAACTCTTGAAATGTGTCCATATGCACCAAAGTTTTAATCTTATGAATATATGTGGTTTTAAGAATAAAATAGTTCTTTTTTAATCTTGAAAACCTTGATTCTTGAAAAGCTCTTTTTTTCCATCTTAAGTACATCATATAATCGATTTGGGATTGAGGTCCTATATACACTACAATGGAACCTGTAACAAAGGTGTCCTTACCATTTCTCCCCTGCTTCACTGCCTCTTATGTTTGGAAGGACAAGAGAGGCTCCAAGGTGCTGAGCAACAACAACGGCATTTGCAATCTGCGGCGGTAACAAGTTGATAGAGTTATTTAAAAATCTAACTTAGGGTGTTTTCCGTTCGTGTGACGTTATCTGATCAGATTTTTGGAAGTTCTGATCTGATCTAGTCAAATCGGATCTGATTCGATCTGATCTCATCTGATCTAATCTAGTCTGATCTGATGTGATTAGATTTGATATGAATTTGATTAAAATTAAAATTTCTATTATAATAGTTATAATAATAATAATAGAAATATTAAAATTAATAGTAATAATAAAAATAAGAATAATACTAATAGTAATAATAATAATAGTAATAAGAAGATCAACAATAATAATAACTATAATACTAATAATACTAATGAAAAAGTAATAATAACAATAGAAATAATAATAATAATAGAAATATTGATAATAATAGAAATAATAATAATAATAATAATAAGATCTGTAATAATAATAATAATAATAATAATAGTAATAATAATAGAAATAACAATATTAATAGAAATAATAATAAAAATAGTAACAACAATAATAATATTTGTTACAATGATGATAATAATAATAATAATAATAATAATAATAATAATTATAGTAATAATAGTAGTAAAGATATGGATTTGCATATCGGGTAAGGATTTGGTCATGGCATATCCGATCCGATTCATATTCGTTTACATCCCTATTCAAGGACCACTTGGTGAGGAGTAAAGATATGGATTTGCATATCGGAAATACAAATTTTTTTAAATACTCCCTCTGTACACCATAGATCTTCTCAGACACTATTCATAGGGTCAAACTTAACTCACTTTGTTTGCTTATTTTAATCACTCATTTCATAAAATAAAATAGTATTGTCATCTCTAGTTTTGTAGAACTTTTCATGTACTTTTTTATTACGGAGTATATAAATTTTATTTTTAAATTTTATCCTCACAATCAAATGAATTAAATTGAAAATTAAGTGAGTCAAAAGCAAGTAATTAAATATTTCGACTTTCGAGAATAAAAAAGAAATCTAACATCTATTGGATATCTCGAAATCAACCGCAACTCCATATCTCTACTTTCTTGCCAAAATCAACCGGCCTCTTCTTCTCCTCTTCTAAATCTCACAAATCTTCTTATCCACCATCAATTTTCCTTTTCTTTTTCAACGGCAGTTGCATCTACTCCAAGTTATGTTGCTTCTCTATGTCATCATCTTCACTTCACTAATTTTAGAATTTCTTAAACCAAATCTTGAATTTGAATTTAATATGTTCGTCTTGAATTCATCAATTGTTTCAATTTTTTAAATCGATCTTTTGGTTAATTTGTTGAACTGAAAAAGGCTATAATTTTTTAAAATTTTTATATTTTTAATTTGGAAGTAGAGATGGTCATTTATATTAGGAATAATTTGCTTCAATACTCTCAAGAATGCAGAACTTTACATAAATACTTCGAGATTCGTTAAATGACACCAATAATACTCCCAAAATTTTCCTATATTTAATTTACATCATTGCTCCGAGAATTAAAAATCAATATAGCCTTTTATCATGAAATTACAAATACCTTTTTCATATATTGTTTCAAAGCCAATATTTGTTTCAATTCAAAGCCTTTTTCCCATATTGATACAAATATAATTTCATGATTTTTCCTATAATTACAAATACTTTTTTCCAAAATTTCCTATATTTACATCATTGCTCCTATATTTACAAATATTGATTGCTTTGAAACAAATATTGATTGCTTTAATTATATTATTAATATAAAATTATCATAAAATTTAATATTGATGAAAGATTACCAATTCATACTAGTTTACAAATTATTGTCAAATTGCATTTTTATCTAATTAAGTTTTATTTTTTTATGATTTGAATTTTTAAATTTATTGTTCAGGGAAGATTTTTTCATAAGATTAATATTGTTTCTCATCCGTATGTAAATTCTTTTGACCCCATAACATATTTTTTAAAACTCAGTTGCTTATCTAATTTATTGAAGATTAACTATTTTATTTACATATAATTGTTTCTTTGTTATGCAAAAATCATTTCATAGAATATGGTTGTTTGTTGTGTGTATTAAAAAAATCTCGTTGCTTTGTTAGTATTCTATAAGATTCTATTGTTAATTGTTAATTATTCTAACAGATGGTCTCGTCTCGTGAAATATTGATTCTAAGAAAGAGGAAACAATTACAAATGCAAATGCTATTTTTGGTCTTGTTATTTTCCAAAGCAATCAATTTTTCGATAATTAATAAGTCAATAAAACACGGTATATAAATTCTAGATATGCTCATATAGAAACTCTCTATTAGTCTTAAGATTAATTAATGAATGTACTCCCTCCATTTTATATTACTCCCTCCGTCCTACAATGATCTTCCCAGAGCACTATTCCAACTTCACGGGAATTTATATTTAATTGTGTTTTTTCATGGCCTATATGATAAAATAAAATATTCTTGTCACCACTTGTTTTGTTGAACTTTTGGTGTAGTTTTTGAATATGTATGTTTTATTTTTTATTTCTATACCAATATTTAAATAAAATATATTAAAAAAACTTGGGATTTTTCTGCGTTTTGCGAACAGGGAAGATCATTATAGGACGGAGGGAGTACTTATTTATTAATATTTTCTCTTTACATTGAAAAATGAATGAATGTAGCTATAAAATCTTTCCATATTTGTTCAATTTTAAATGTATCATAAAAGTTATAGTGTCAGTTAATTTAGAATGGAGAGAGTAAGGGTGATTGCTCAAGAAAAAAGGGAGTAGAGGAAAAAAATTACTCCCTCCGTCCCTAAATATTTGTCACACTTTCCTTTTTCATCCGTCCCAAAATATTCACCACACTTCTAATAATGGGAAGTAAATTGGTGTGTTAAGATTATTATACCCCTGCTTTTTCAAAATCCTTATCTTCAATCAGAATCCTTTCCTCTCATTCTCACCACACTCTTTCGTCTTCTCCATCTGATCTCTCATCTTCAATCTTCGTCTTCTCCATAATCTCTTCATCTCCGCGACATTCTCAAATTCCTCTCCGCCACAATCTTCGTCTTCTCCACTCCCTAATCTATGGGTAATCCAGATCCCTCATATCCCAATTTTAATCTGTTGATACAGGAATCACCGTCGCGAGGTAGATTCCCCCAAATTGGTGGATCTGGACGAGGATTGAAGCGTCGCTATCCTACTCCTTCGACTTCTACTTCTGATACAGACCCAACCTGGAAGTATCGTAAGAAGTACGGGGATGTGGCGATGTTTGATGAATCAGATCTGGAATTTGAGAGCGACGATGGGGAATCCGAAGAGGTGACATCTGACTATGATCATAGCCAATTGGTCTGCACAGATTATGCTTTGATGGTGAACCCTCCACCAATACCCTTCGATCTCCCTTCCTGTGGTATGACCTCTCCTCAATAACTTTATTATCGAGTGGATAGTCTCTGCATGTTATGGTAATTCAATCTCTTAACTAATGATGAAGGGGGGATTAAATTTCAACACTTTTTAGTGAGGCCATCACATCTCTGTGCCATTTGTGAAATCAATTTATGTATTTGGTTGTCTACTGGTGTGGCCCGAGGTGTATAATGCCCAAATTTTGGAGTATTTGCCCTTGATGTGTGGTCTGTGATGAGTTGAAATGTGTACTGGTCTTGCCATTCATTCATTATGTGAAATTTTACTTAGTGTGACTGCTCTATGGTCTGTGATGACTTTAAAATCTGTGACCTATGTGTTGCCATTCATTCCTTATGTGAAATGCTGCCCAGTATGTGATGCCTAATGTTTGTTGCCCACTATGCCTGCTCTGTGGTCTGTGATGACTTTAAAATCTGAGACCAATGTCTTGCCATTCAATCCTAATGTCAATGGCTGCCCAGTATGTGATCCCTAATGTTTGTTGCCCACTCTGACTGCACTGTGGTCTGTGATGACTCTAAAATCTGAGACCAAAATTGTGTTGCCATTCATTCCTTATGTCAAATGCTGGCCAGTATGTGATCCCTAAGTGTTTGTTGCCTCATGTGCCTAATCTGTGGTCTGTGATGACTTTATAATCTGAGACCAAAACTATGTTGCCATTCATTCCTTATGTCAAATGCTGGCCATGCCTAATCTGTGGTCTGTGATGACTTTATAATCTGAGACCAAAATGCATTCAAAATATACTTATACATTCATTGAATACATAATTCAGGAGCACTTACAAAACTTGTCCCCTACAAAAATAAAAAAAAAGTACCCTTTGTACTAAATACAAGTCAGCTTGAACTACCCCCACCCCAAATATTAGTACAAGTCCCTCCAAAAAGCAAAAAAAAGGTACCTTATGTACCAAATACATGCCAAGAACTCCACAGTTCATTAGGACAAGTCCCTCCAAAAAGCAAAAAATTAAAACAAAGAACTTAGATTGTATTTCTAAGTCAATTGTTACCAGGCCCCTGTTCTGCTAAGAACTTCCTGGCTGCCTCCACCACTTCCATACTGACTTGAATATTCTCAGGCAACTGATCCATCCTCTCTAGTCTGTCTTTCCCAATGTGTGGTATCTTGTAGTTATTTCCTTCTTTTTGCACTAGAATCTGTTCCATCTCACATTGTAAGGTCAAGAAGACCTTATTCAATTTTTGAGGGGTTAACTCCTCAAATGCACTCTGCACTGCATTGATCAATTCATTTATGTTCCTTGGGGCTTTTTGGTTTTTGAGACTGTCTATGGATGCAAAGAATCCCAAGTCTAGTACATTCAGATCAGGGCTGTTAGGAGGTTGGCACTTTATAGAAATGTTCCACCCATCTTCTTGACAGCTATGGACTATGTCTGGATCATCAGGGTGTACATGAGGTTTGGCATTATCTTGTTGTATGATGACAATCTTTGCCCTTGCCTTAGGCCATTTGGCCTTAATGGCAGGTATGACCTGATTCAGCATCATTTGCTTCATCACATCTCTGTTAACAATTGGAATGGGCTTTGTTTCTAAAGTACCTGCAGGCCTGTTTTTACTACTCCTCTTTGCTCCTTCCTGAAATGTGAATGGGAAAATACCCACTTTCCCATCCCAAATGCTTTCTTCATCACCCTCCAACATTGGTCTACCCACAACTGTTAGGAACATTATTTTGGGTATAAATTTTTTTGATTGAGCTGATCTATATGGATCTTCTTCATTGGGGAGTGTGTAAAAGGTACTTGTCTCTTGTGATTGTTAGAACCACTTCTCATCTATGTGAACATAGTCATAAAAGTGATGAATTGTTGGGTTCATGGGTATTGTTTGGGGCATGATATGATCTAAACAAAAACGTAGTCTTTTAACCTTACCACTGTCTGTCAGCGAAGGCTTGATTGCATTCGTGTGACGTCGAATCTGCTTTTCTTTGAGTAGCCGGTGCACAGTGCTTTTTGATACGTTTAGTTGGTATGCATCTGCACGAATGTTTTTCCTTTTATGAAAAGGAACTTCAACCAGTTTTCCTAAGTCACACGTGACTCTTTTTCTGCCCACACGCCCCCTCATTTGTGGTGCCACATTAATGGGTAAGCCTGCATTAAATTGTTTTTTTGCTTTGGTCCATAAGGTGTGAACGGCCCATCTGTTAGTGTTGAACTTCGCTGCTACTTCTTTAATGACCCCCCGCTGAAGTTTACAGTCTTCTTTGGCTTTTCCCATTAGCATTTCAACTATGCGTTTCTTTTGAGTATCAGATAGTCTGTGCATCGTGTTGTTCTCCTGCTGTTCCTCTTCGTTTTCGTGCACAGGTTCTTCGGGCTGCCCGGTATGCACTCCACGAGAAGTCGATGTGTTTGTCCGAGGTGTCCGTGGGGAAACAACCTCGGCTAAACGTCCCATATCACTGAATGACGCAGTAGCCCGAATGCTAAGGGTGGGAACATCGGCGTCAAAAGATGGATCGTCTCCACGTGAAGCCGGCGTCGGATCTTCGTTGAGATCGAACTCATGGGCAGCCGGGGGCAGATTGAGATCAAATACATGAAGTGTGGATGAAGATGGAATTGAAGATATGTAATCCATTTTGGGTTAGAATTAAATACCCCTCTTCAATGCACACAACTTATTTATATGGGCATTGAAGAGGGTGTACTTAGGGGAAAAATTGGGGGGAAAGAATGTTAAATTTTGGGTCTTTTCCCTCTTTATTTTTAAATGAAATTTGTGTGTGGTGTATTTGGTGATGATGTGTATAAATTGTGGCCTAGTTCTAAAATATTGACATTGATGTGATATTTACTTTAATTAAGTACTCCCTTTCTATCCCCTTTTTGGTTTGTACAGGCTTGCTTTGGGACGGGTGGGTGGTGGGTAAATTTGAAAAAAAAATGCTTTTTATCTACTTCCTAAAATTGTGTGCAAGTCAAAGTGCGGTGAATAAATAGGGACGGAGGGAGTAGTACCTCGAACAAATGATATTCCGCATCTTGAGCCAAAGTTATAAATACATAACCCCTTGATTGTCTTGGTTTCACTAAAACAAAGAGGATTTAATTAATTCGATATCACAAGTAATAATGAAAAATTCTACTTCATTCCATTTTAATTGGAGAAAAGTGCACCGTTTATCATTGAATTCTTTGAAAATTGCACGGTTTACCTCTGAACATTAAAAGTGCACCAATACCCCTGAATTCTTTAGTAATTGCACGCTTTACCCCTGAACAATAAAAATTGCACCAAATATCTCTAAACTCTACGAAAATTGTACTGTTTACTCCTGAACATTTAAATAAAGACGACAATTTTAGGTAAAGGTACTTTGGAAAAATCACAAGGGTCAGATGAATCATATTTGCAATTGTTGTGCGTGGAAGCAACGCACTCCCTATCTAGAAGGTGTTTGGGAGTGATTAACTTGTAGATAAAGTGATTTTCTCAAAAGCTGAAAACAAAAGCATCTCATATCTGCTTCTCCGAAACAGTGTCTATGTACAAAATAGTAGTGATGAAAAGCAGAAGCTGACATGCCAAACAGAGTAAAACAACTTCCACTCAAAGCAGAAGCTAAATTATTAAAAGCAGCGCACTGCCAAACACCCTCCTAATAGTTTAGGACCAACGATGCAACGGTTTAATTTGTTCAAGGGTATTTGGTGCATTTTTTAGTATGCAGGGGTAAATCGTGCAATTTTCAAGGAGTTCGAGGGTAAACGGTGTAATTTTTATAGTTAAAGGGTAAAACATACAATTTCTAAAGAGTACGGGGGTAAACAATGCACTTTACTCATTTTAATTGTCTATTAATACATTTTTGATACCTTGAAAAATATATGAATGTATACATATTTATGAATGTAGAACTAAAATATGTCTATATTTCTTCAATTTTTAATTAGTATAAAAACCACAATTCATAATTAATATGGAATGAAGCGTATAACATGAAATACGAGTAAAATGTGACTTTTGCCAAGCAGTGCTACATCGTTTTGTGGAGCGCTCTTTTGCCAAGTAGGTGTGGCGCAATTCAGACCTAGGTTGGTTTACACCTACTTTGAGTTCTTTTACTAATTGGATATATCAAGGTTTTGCTGCAATTTTTTAATTCTCATTACCAATAATGTTTAGCTTTTTTTTTTTAAAAAAATCATTTGGTCACTATGGCACTCATGTAGTGTAAAAGTATGGAAGGATTACATGCCCTATGCTGAAACCACTTGGTGTGAAGCTAGGGCAGCATTCCTTGAGTGGCAGGAGATGAACAACGTTAGAGTTTAGACATCATGGTCGGTGTGATGATTTAGTCCAAAATTTGGCTCAGCCTCCGGAAGGGATTTTGAAGATCAATGTAGACGCCTCTACATGGCTTGTGGATGACTTGTCAGGTATATATGAGTTTCTTGCTAGGGACTGTAATGGTCAATTTTTTGCGGCAAAGAACCTTAGTCATCTGGGGATTTTTGGACCCCGAGAAGCAGATGCAATGGCTATCGATCAAAGAGGCTTTGAGCTGGATAGATCAGACATGAAAGGTTGGAGATAGGTGCTGGTTGTTGAATCAGATCTAAGGAGGTGGTGGATGTCCTTAATAGTTATCTCTTGATTGGTCTTATTTCATTTCTATTAGTAGGGATTGTAAAAATCTCAAAGCCCGTTCCGTCAGAAATTTCTTATTTACATTTGTCTCCCGGTCGGCTAATGAGGCGGCACATCTACTTGTGAGAGTTTCTCATTGTATCTAGAGCTTAGGAGAGTGGCTAAATTCACCCCCTAACTTTATTCACATTTAATTTAAAATGTTTATTATTAAAAAAATTAATTATGACTTTATTTCTTTATGTTGGAGTGATTCTTTTTTTAATTACTTTGTCATATTTGACTTTTGATAGCAACCGTTTTGAACTTTTTATAACATTAAGGGCATTGGAAATACTTCTAAAGTTGGCTTCGTTATTTACGTTTAACGCTGTTAAAGCTTTAAACAACGCTCCCCTAGCGCGTTAAAGTAGCGTTAAGTAGGTGACCGTTAAATGTTTAACAAGTGATTTTGTGTTGATTGAAGGGCCCCACCTACTTTACAAACGGCATTGTAGCCGTTTCAACTACAACAAATTAAAAATATTTCTCTATCTAAACTGTCTAAGTACACAAATTATATATGTTCCTATTGATTTAATTATGTTAAATTATATATTTTATTTTCTTAAAGGTACAGATCTAATGAGGGATGTTATGTGGGATCATATTGAGGAGGAAAAGGGAAGATAGAGAAGGACATGGAAATAATGGATAAAGACCTTGATATGTTAACAAGACACAAAAGAATGTTAACAAGAAAAAACAAAACGAGGACAAGGCTAAATATGGTTGGTAGTATTGTGTTTTTTTTAATGTATTTTTTGCATTTTTTAATTTAATGTACTTTTTAAATTTTAATGTATTTTTTATTTAATGAACCATTCTGTTTTTAGTTTAATTAATTAATGAAATCTTATTAATTTACTTTCATAATATATATTAGAGAGTAGAAAAATAAAAAAAGAAAGATTTGAAGTCTCAATTTGAAACCGATGTACTCCCTCCGTCCTATAATGATCTTCCCAGAGCACTATTCCAACTTCACGGGAATTTATATTTATTTGTGTTTTTTCATGGCCTATATGATAAAATAAAATATTCTTGTCACCACTTGTTTTGTTGAACTTTTGGTGTAGTTTTTAAATATGTATGTTTTATTTTTTATTTCTATACCAATATTTAAATAAAATAGATTGAAAAAACTTGGGATTTTTCTTTGTTTTNTCCCAGAGCACTATTCCAACTTCACGGGAATTTATATTTATTTGTGTTTTTTCATGGCCTATATGATAAAATAAAATATTCTTGTCACCACTTGTTTTGTTGAACTTTTGGTGTAGTTTTTAAATATGTATGTTTTATTTTTTATTTCTATACCAATATTTAAATAAAATAGATTGAAAAAACTTGGGATTTTTCTTTGTTTTGCGAACCGGGAAGATCATTATAGGACGAAGGGAGTATTTTAAGTAAATGTAGTATGTAAATTAGAGGGGGGTTAAAGCTTATGTGCATGGGGCAAATATGTGTCAGAGAGAGAAGATTTAAAACCCCAGTTTGAAGCCGAGTATTTCTAGTGCCCTTATTGTATAACAAGGAATATATTCATATGCACCAAATTAGGAAATCATTGAAATCTGTTAGAATATAAGAAACATTTCCTGGGCCACAACCACAAGCTTGAGCTTTTGGTTGAGTTAGTTCCTTGACATGGTATCGGAGCCTTGTTGACTAAGAGGTCATAGGTTCGAAACTCAACGCCACCCAGTTTTAAAAAAATTAAAGTTTCACGTGCGAAGCTCGAAAAAAAAATTATGCTTTCACGTGAGGGGGCATGTTAGAATATAAGAAACATTTCCTGGGCCACAACCACAAGCTTAAGCATTTGGTTAAGTTGGTTCCTTGACAAAATCATTCAAAAAATTATCTCGAATACTTTTGATTTTTTAGAAAAACTTTTCAAGTTTCACATCATTTGAAACATACTTTATGGGTTTCAAAAATTCGTGGTAATGTACTCCGAGTGAACATTCCGTCTATTTGACCATTAGATTTGAAAGTTCTATTTCTTGGAACAATCAAATATCAAAAAATTACTTCGGGTGTCTCACATTTTTTTCTAATATTAGGTCCCATATTATTACATTTTACTTTATATATATATATATATATATATATATATATATATATATATATATATATATATATATGTGGGATTGACTCCAGTGAGATGACACCTTACGGTGAGATGACATGCTACGGTCAGATGACGCAAAGCTCACCACTGCCAACTTCAAAGCTCACCAAGGACAACTACAAAGCTCACCAAACAGTAAGGCAAAGCTCACCATATTTTTTCAACATTTTGAATTTTTTTTGAAAAAATAAAATCAAAAAATGGGGTGCTGACTAGACTTTGACCATTGACCGAGACCTTTGACCGCCACCGCCGGTCGCCGGAATCTGCCACCACAGGCCACCGCCGGTCGCCGGAATCCGCCACCGGTCGCCGGCAACCGCCGCCTCCCGGCACCGCTGACCGGTAGTTGACCGGTGTTGCTAATTTATTTTTTATTAATTTTTAATTTTCAAAACTTAAAAAAAAGGTGATTTTTTGTGTTCAAAGTGGTGAGCTTTACTTTATCTCTAGGTGAGCTTTGCATTGTCCAGTGGTGAGCTTTGTAGTGTAGTGTGGTGAGCTTTGTGTCATCTCACCATAAGGTGTCATCTTACTGGAGTCAATCCCTATATATATATATATATATATATATATATATATATATATATAGTCCCTGATGTGTTTCATAAGTAGGTAAATAGTGCTCGAACTTCTAAAAGTTGTCAAATAATCCTTGTGGTCAAACAACCATAGCATAATTAGTCTCTATATTAGAAAATTCATAAAATGTACACAACACACACGTACTATGCAAATATGTCAATAATGTAAAAGTTAAAAAAAGATAATTTGAAATTTCATTTGTGATGTCTAACTTTAAATCATAGTACAATATCTTCCATCTTTTACTTTTACTCTTCCAACGAATTCCTTAGGGCTGGGTCGGGAAAACGGAAAACGCAAAACCGAACCGAAATCGATCGTAACGAGCTATAAAAAAACCGAACCGAAACCGAATGTAAAAACACCGAACCAAACCGTTATTGTTTTGTTCCATTTTGGTTTTTACTTTGAAAACCGAACCGAACCCAATAAACCGAACTTATTTATATGCTTCATTTTATTTATAGGGCAAGGTTCCCATGACATTGGGAACCAATGCCATGGGATGATCCGGGGGCGCTCCGGTGCCCCGTTCGTAAAATTGACGGTTCCTACCCCCCTAACCCCCCGATAAAAACCCCCCCACCCTGCCCCGACCCGAACACACCACCCCACCCCCTTCAATTGCACCCAACAAGTTGATTTTGACTATGAAGTCAAATTTTGACTCCAAAGTCAAAATCAACTAGCTATGCTCTCTGAGGATGTTGTGCACCGTGTTGGAGCAGATTTGGCTAAGTTGAGGTTGACATCAGGAGTATTGTGCGATAAGAAGATTTCACACTAGATGAAAGGTAAGTTCTACCGGCATGTAGCTAAACTAGCTATGCTATATGGGGAGATGTTTTGGGTGGCTAAGAAGATTCACATGCGTCTTCTGCATATGGCGGAGATGCGGATGTTGCGGTGGATGTATGGGTAGACAAGACTGGATAGAATTCTGAATGAGGTTATTCGAGGTCGGTTAGACGTGGCGCTAGTGAGAGATAATATTCGGTAAGCTAGGTTGAGGGTGCTGTTGTTGTGTGCCTTGTAGGCCTTTTATACTTGGTGTTATTTTCTATTTGCTTGCAATACTCTCATTTTGTAAGTTTACTTTATTTAATTCGGTTTTAGTGCTATGCAGTGATTGATGCTTTATTTGCATTGTATATGTGCTTTCCTTGCTCTATGTATCTACTATGTGATCTTTTTATGCGCAGCTTGAGCCGGGGGTCTCATGGAAGCATCTCTACTTTCGGGTAGGGGCAAGGTCTGTGTGCACACACCCTCCACAGACCACACTTCGTGGGATCCAATTAAGTTGTTTTTGTTGTTGTTTATTATTAAAAAAAACCATTGCCTCGTGTATATTTTTATCACCAAAAACAATTTTGAAATACAAAATTTATTTTACTATAAAAATACTTTTAGAATTTTATAAATTCTTAATACGTTGAAGTGAAAAAACTAAACTATTTTATTAAATCTTTATTTAAAATACATATTTTATTTAAAAATATTATATGCAATATCCATTTTATTTATATAAATAAAAATTTTAAAATAAATACTTTATGAATAAATAATTTCAAATAAATATTTTATAAATATTATTATTCTACGTTAAATTTATAGTTTTATAATACATATATTCAGTTTTCAAAATTTTAAAATTATATAAATGCTTTAATTTATAAATTCTTTTAAAATTTTGAAATATTATATTATAATGATATTTTTATAACAACTAAGGTTATAATTATTTTACTTTGAAATTAATTTATTTTTATTAAAGTTTAATAAAACAATGTTAATTCAAGTAATAATTTTCTAAGAATACACAATTTGGAGGTGTTGAGTGTTACTTCAAAGTCCCACATCGGTGGGATAGGAAAATTGAGAAGGTATTGGAGCCTATAAATAGAGAGAGTGTATAGGCTTCCAACACACAACACAATCCTTCAATCTATATAATTGTGTATTAGATTTTAGGTTGTGAGTGTCAAATATTGGAGAGGGTTTGTAATTTTTCCGTGCAAAAATTACTAGTGAGATTTTATCCCAGAGGGGGTCGTGGAGTAGGTCTTGAGGTGCCGAACCACGTTAAATATTTTGTGTGGTCTTTTTTTCTTTCCTTTCCATTTGTTTGCAGTAGGGGGCCTAACAAGTGGTATCAGAGCCAAGGTGATCTGGTAATTATAATTCTTAGTATGCTCTGTGGTTGCAGCTTTGACTGATCTTCCACATCAGAAAAGAATTATTAATTACAGAGTTGCAGTCTAGGGGGAAGGAGATAGAGGAAGGAGCAAGAGAAGGGAGTGCCACTTCAGCGGAGGAGGTGGTGGTCCAGTCAGCAGAGGTGGGTCCGTGAATGCCACGTTAGCAGTTTGTGGGTCTCGAGTGCCACGTCATCATCCAGTCATCGCCACGTCAGCAGGTCCAGTCATCAGTGGGTCCCATCGCCACGTCAGCAGGTACAGTCATCGTGTGGGTCCCGTTGGTGATTTTTGGAAAGAAGTTGGTTCTGACTAATTTTGACGTCCTGATTCCATTTTTTGAGGCCAGTTTCCTCAAATTTGGATTGTTTGGTATCGGTTGATAGCTGCTTGAGTGAAACTATGACTACCTTGAAGTTTGAAGTTCCGTTATTTGATGGAAGAGTGGACTTCATGTTGTGGCAATGCACGATTCAAGACTATTTGGTCCAGCAAGGTCTTGAATTAGCATTACAAGATGAGAAGCCAAGTGATATGAAAGAATCAGAGTGGAGTACAATCCAGAAGAAGGCTGTCAGCACAATTCGGTTGGCACTGTCCCCACATATTAAAGTGACAGTGTTGAAAGAGACATCACCAAAGAAGATGTGGGAAACGTTGGAGAGCAAGTTTGCGTCGAAGACACTTACTAACCGGTTGATGATGAGGATGGACTTGTACTCACTGAAGATGGAAGAGGGAGGTAGCGTAACTGATCACATCAACAAGTTTAATGAGCTAGTATCAAGGCTGTTAAATGCAGGGGAGACTATCAAGGATGAAGAGCAAGGGCTGCTTCTACTGGCTTCACTACCAAAATCCTTTAAGCCGTTTGTGCAGTCAATGATTGCAGGAAGGACTACACTGCGACTAGATGAGGTGACGACTACCTTGAAGGAGAGTCAAAGAATGATGGAAGGTGAAGAGTCTTCCGGGGACAGTCATTTACTAGCTGCTGTGAGTGTTGAGAAAGGGAGGAAGAAGAAGAGTGACCAACTTGGGAGAAGATCTCAGTTTAGAGACATGAGCACTGTTAGGTGCTATTACTGTGAAAAGTTGGGTCACACGAAGAACGGTTGTCCAGAACTCAAGGAGGACTTGCAGATCCTAAAGGAGAAGAAGGGCAAATCAAAGGAAGCTTCTTCCGCAAATATGATCACTTATGAAGATGATCTCTTCTGATGATAAGAGTACTGCTCGACAGAAGATTCTGCAGGATGGGAGTATCGCTGCAGAAATCGCAAATGATGTAGGACTTTGAATTAAGGGGAGATTTGTTGAGTGTTACTTCAAAGTCCCACATCGGTGGGATAGGAAAATTGAGAAGGTATTGGAGCCTATAAATAGAGAGAGTGTATAGGCTTCCAACACACAACACAATCCTTCAATCTATATAATTGTGTATTAGATTTTAGGTTGTGAGTGTCAAATATTGGAGAGGGTTTATAATTTTTCCGTGCAAAAATTACTAGTGAGATTTTATTCCAGAGGGGGTCGTGGAGTAGGTCTTGAGGTGCCGAACCACGTTAAATATTTTGTGTGGTCTTTTTTTCTTTCCTTTCCATTTGTTTGCAGTAGGGGGCCTAACAGAAGGTTATCATCCTCTGCTCCCAATTTGGAATACTGTTATATTTGTATTGAACCACATTAAAAGATTGAATTCAATCTATTAAAAGATAATGAGATGCTATCTGTTAAAAGATAATGAGATGCTGGAGATATATTGAAGAAAATGTGGGGTAGATAGACAATTGGAGATATATTGATCGAAGAGTAGACGAGTAGAATCCAATGGGATAATAATAATTGGAATTAGAATGAATTGAAGAATAAAAGGGATGAAAATGTGAAGCAATTTAGTTAGATTCAAGCATTCAACAACTTACCATTGGTTGATTTTCTCCAGCAAGGGATTAGGACTTCATTGTCGTCTCCTCCCCACAGGCTAGAACCTTCTGAGAATACGGTGGAAAGATACCGTTTTGTAGCCACGTCCTTTTCTTCTTTCCCGTTTGAGTATACCGAAATATCGCCCTATAATCAGATCAAAAATTCAAAACATGGACAACCTAACGCTATTTAATTATAATATATCGTTGATTTTTTCAAAAAAAAATTATTTTTAATAATTTGATACGACTCCATATTAGAAATGTATGGAGCATAAATTGAAAAATTAATTTCAAATGCCCCATGATAAAAAGTGGATAATTAAATTTTAACAGAATAAAGTATTCCCTGCTTTCTATATTAACTGTTCTTTATGACGTTTTTTAATATATTTAAAAAAATGAATTAATGTAGACATTGCCTAAAAAAAGAAGGCAAAATTCACAAGAATACTCCCATAATTTTCAGGTTTTACATAAATACTCTCAAATTTGTTTATTTACATAGTGACTCCCACATTTGTCTATTATTTACGTCGTTACTCCGTGATTGCTTCATTGATAGAATTTGGGATGGGTATGGACAACTGGATTTGGCAATAAGACACTTGGGTTGAACTGCATTAAAAGATTGAATCCAATCGATTAGTTAGTTTAACTCAAGAGCTTATAACCGGTTGACCACTTGCAAATGGACTCCCATTCCCTTAATTTTTTTTTTGAACGCCAACACCTAAAGGACCACGAGCCGCTGGGTATGGACTTCCAGACTAGCAATCGTGTTAAACGGGCCACAGGCCGTTGGGTACATACTCCATACGGACAACTGGGCTAAAGACAAACGAGCCGCTAGGAATGAACGTCTAGACGGACACCTTGACAAACGAGGTGGGCCAAAACCTGCTCTGATA